GTTGTTAGTTGCGAAGTCATGTCTGACCCATCGTGACCCCATGGTCAACATTCCTCCAGGCCTTCCTCTCCTCTACCATCCTCTGGAATCCATTTCCACGCCTATTGATTCAGTGACTCCATCCAGCTACTTCGTTCTCTGCCGTCCCCTTCTTCTTTTGCCCTCAATCTTTCCCAGCATTAGGCTCATCTCCAGTGAGTCCTTCCTTCTCATTAGGTGGCCAAAGTATTTGAGTTTCATCTTCAGAATTCAAAATGGAACAAAGAAGCCAACCCTGCTCCCAAAATGAATGCCACAAAGCAATAAACTTAAGATGAAAAGCCCAGTAGAACAAAGGGATTTTGATCAGTTTACAAAACACTAAGAGGGAAGGGAGGTATCTGTTTCATTGAATATGGAATTTCAGGGCATCAGAGCCACAACAGAAGAGATCTGTTGCCTGGTCCATGTCCCCTCCCCACCCCGACCTATGGGATGCTCAGTAGGCTTTCCTGAGATGTTCTTACAGGATGGGCAGATTCAATTTTGGGAAAGATGCAATCTGATACTATTCTGTATAGGGTTTTGTAGGCAATTACCAGCATTTGGAATTGGATCCAAAAACTTACTGGGAACCAATACGGGCTACTATGTTCTGAACAGTGGTGGGTTGCCCCCGGTTCGCACTGGTTCTATAGAACCGGTAGAAAAACTGGCGGGAGGCTCCGCCCACTGACCCCAACATCATCAAAATGCTTCTGCGCATGCACAGAAGCTTCTGTGCTTGTGCAGAAGAGCGTGTGTGTGTGCAAGCTAAGTGAGCACACACGCACGGCCCCGTTGCAAACCGGTAGTAAAGGTAAGTAGAACCTACCCCTGGTTCTGAACTTCTGTATGTTCTCCAAAGAGAAGATCTTCTCCAAGATCCAGCATTTAACAGTGTCTCATATGAGTGGTGAATACAGAATGAATTCAGGGGATAAAGGGGAAAAAAGGTAAGGAGATATTATATTCTCCTTACCATGGTTGTCACCATCTTCAATAGCTGGTGAGAGGCAGGGGAGGGAAATGAAGATGGTAAGAAGATTGGGGTTGGAGAAATCAGTAGGCAAACTCAAGTAAGCCTTTTAGTTGGGTTAACCAGATGGCAGGGAAATAAAGGTGGGCTATAATACTTTAATCTTTTACATTAGCTTAGTGTGTCATGAACATATCCTAAAGCCATTACGTTCCTGGTCTGGTTTCAGTTTAGCATAAGATGTGAATGCAGTCACAGAGACTTGTAAACTTGGTTTATGGCAGGATTTGGCGACATTTTGGTGGCTGCAGGCCAGCACTATTTAGTCTAAAGGCTAACGTGGATGTAGTAGCAAAACAAAATGTATGGTGCCCATCAAGCCAAGCTGAGATTTTTTTCCTTTTATAAAGAAGTTTAGGAATTTTGTTTGTAAACTATGTTCAGGCTATTTCAGGACTTAATACTAGTTGTTATGCATTTCCAAGCACAGAATGACAGGAAACCCTGTTGTTTACATTCAGCAATTATGCTTTCAAATTTCAGCAGCCTGGTCATTGAAAGCTCAGAGCTCACAACAATGGGATTCAAGGTATTGTATGTGGAGCTATGACGTCACAGTTTATAACCTCAGATTTAGCAGTTAAATTTAATGGTTAAGTTTAGTGTGTGCAAATTGAGTCTATGGATTTGACACAATGTGTTGCCCTTGCTGTTATGGATATTATATCTGATAATCTTAAATAATCTCTTCAGAGAAATATGTGACATGATGTCTATTTGCTTGCATGAACAAGCTTTGATCTTAGGGAGGAAGGAAGCTGGCTGTCGAGAAAACCAATGTACACAAGTCTTAAAAAGTTAACTTGAATCAATGAGAACAAAATGATGGGGAATGAGAACACTAACAACTTGAAATGTTTAGGGCTAATATATGAGGTGTAAAAATCTGGCTGACTTTTTTTTCTGTAGTGCTTTGCCATCTTGTGGTTATCCATATTTTTCCAGCCAAGACATGGCAGCTCAGAGACAACCTCGAAAACAAATAAGCAAGAAAAGGTTAGACGTAGTGAGTGAACAATGGGTTTAAATCATCTTAGTGATATATCACCAACAATCTAGGGGCAAGAATCCTGGTTCTTCCAGAACAGTAGGCACATTTGAGATTTTGAGAACATGTCACAGGCATGGAGGGCTTCCCATTCTCGAAGAGCAGTCATACACAATGTGGACAATCACAAAAACTTTAATTTATCAAAAGCCGAATGGATAACATTGTTCCCTATCTTATTTTCTAGATTCCTATGCAATTTGGATTGAGCCCCAGTTTATTTTTTATCTCTTGTGTAAGTTGTATATTTACAAACAAAGCACTGACTTGCCACTTTTAATTTCCGAGAATGCCTGTAGCTCTTATGTGGAAACACTATATTTCTTCTTAGAAATATGACATTGAAGGTCGGTGCTTGGATTTGTAGCATATCTATATTCTTGTATTTGATTAAAAATAAAAAAGAGGTGTTTTTTTTTAAAAAAGGAATATATTTCAAGTACAGATACAGAGGGTGGAAGTAGCAAGGAAGTATCTGCAGGTACATTGATGCCCATAGATACAATATTAGGGATATTAGATCTATGAAATCTATGAAATTATTTTTTTATTTTAATAACTTTTATTTGAGAAACTTGATGACTTTCCCTATTTTATTGTCAAATTTAAGAATAGCCTTGCTGTATCAGGCTAAGCCTATCCCAGTTTGTAAATGGATTCAATAATCCCTGTTTAAAGGTCTCCCAATGTTGTAGACAGCAACACATATTTGTGATCAAGCAGTATTATGTTTCTAGGTCCCATGGTCATAATGCTGAATTAAAACAGCATTGTCCATCCCTCTTTTAATTAACAGAAAACAATGGAAATTCCAGCATGAAATTTCCTGCCCATATTGTCAATCCTGCTGATATTGTCTCTATTCAGAATCTCATTGGAGATGCTATTAAATTCAGTTGTCCTGATTACAGCATGATAGGCTAAGCAACTATCTGACTCCTCCAGATTTACTGCTCCCCCTCTCAAGCATGTTGTCTGCCAATGGGAACACCATTAGCCAATCATGATACTGGAGCAGTAATAGTGAAGATTTGACATTAGGACTCTATTGGGCATTTCTAGACTCTTATTTCTCCTTTTTCTAGACCTATTCTATCGTAATGCTATTTAAAAAGGGGGAAGGGCAAAAAAGTGGACTACTGACTAAGTTGCTGGCATATGTTTTTACAAGGGAGGGTACATTCTTGTTTAGGATTTCTTTTCTATATGGTCACCTATCACCAACTTGTGGATTTATCTGTCTTATCCTGAAGGCCCCCAGGTTGGTCCCCCAAGACCAGGTTGGTCCCTTTCAGTGTTACACAACTTCAGCCTGTTATCTTATTTCAGATGCTAGAAACATTATGTTCTATGGAAAGACTAGTAGAATGATGACAGAAGTTAATCAGCATCAGTCTGAAACACCAATAGATGCTTCCACAATTGGTTATTTGACTCTATCTCCAATGTCAAAATGACAAAATCTAACAGATTTTATATGCCCTGAAGCTATCACTGGATAGAATTCAGAATAAGGGAGAAAATACTAATTTAACACCAGTACAGCTAAAGAAGCCCTAAGCCTGTCTCATTCATAGACTGGGAATGAAAAGAAGGCAACATCTTGATGAAAAATGGAAAAGTGCTATTGTCAAGGACTGATTGTGTTGTGGTTCAGCGCAAGTGGGGGGCATAGCCATAATAATTTTGAAATTCTATACAAGTCTTACCTACCTCTTTCATTTATCAACATTTCCTGTACTTGGAGAAACTACTTTTTGGCAACAGTTCTTTCCAAGATGAATGAGATCTATTTGTAGACTGTTGATAAATGGTTTAACTAACGGTAGCAGCTTTTTATTGTAGAACAGTATCTGGTTCTTACTAAACATGTTGAATTAAAAATCCCATAAACACCAGCCAGTTTTCAGCTAGTGATGTAAACACACAGTTTCAAATGGTTTGTTAAACACGCTAAATAGATGTCGTACACTTTCCAGATAATCACCAGCACAAGAACATTGCTAGTGAAATGCAGGGATTATTGACAGATGAATATGAAGCAAACCCAGGTTGCACAACACCATACCTGGAGTTGTTTCTCGCAAAGCAGAAACAGAGTGGTACAGATCAGCATATTCTGAAATATTTTTCAGGCACCTTCATTGCTCTGGTGTTGATGACTGAAGCACAGCGAGACTGAATTAATTCACCTCTCCCTCATTTTACATGCTTCGCATAGTTGTCTGCTTAATTTATTCCTGACCCTCCCCCCCCCAAAAAAAACCCCAGACAGTCTGACCTTCTCTTCTTTGTTATCCTTTCTTGTAAAATCCCTTTTTATGAGGAGGGAAGTACTTCAAGAGGATTGAGAGTTAACTTATTTTCATTGGGTGGGAGAGGGGAAACCAAGCAGCTGAATCAGAAGGTCGGTTGAAGATGATTTGTCTGAAATTAACTGTTGTTTGGCTAACTCAGTCCTTACAACTGATTGCAATGTTAATTTATGGCTGGATGATAAAAGTTTTTGATTTCCTTGTCTTTGCCCCCCTCCCTCCCTCCCACCCGCCCGCCCGCCCATGGATCCTACATTCTTGCTTCCGAACATCAAAAAAGGCAAACACAAGAGTTATTTGTTAGCAAAAGGAGCTGCTATCAAGAGCCGCTTCTTTGTTTTTGGGACTGATGCAGCGATTGCCTTCCAGTTTGGGGGTGGTGGTGGAGCGGGTGGGGTGGAGAGTGGCTTAAACTTAATCATATTCACATGACAAACCATAAATAAAGGAAAAACGAATACTGAAAAAAAGAACCTCTCAGAAGTCGGAGCGAGCAGCTTGTCCACAGTTACAGGGAGGGGGAGAGGGAGGGAGGGAAGGAGAGAGAGAGAGAGAGAGAGAGAGAGAGAGAGAAGCTGTCAGACTTAGGGGAGGGCGCAGCTTTTCTCAGACGTTTGAGTTTTAACCCCATTGGAGACGCCGGTCCGGTAAGAAGGCAAAAAGGCTGTGGATAGCTTGCAACAAAAGGCTCGGGACTTCCCTCTTGGCGTCTCTCAGGGTTCGAGGCGCATTACATCCTCCGCAGGAAACAGGTTTTCCTCTTTTGCGGCTGCCACCCCCCCTCCCCTCCCCTCCCCTCCCCAATTGCACAGCCAAGGAACCTCATGCTCTGTGCAGAGCGACAGCCCAGGAGGCAGGATGGTTCTGCGGGATCGGCGAGGCGCTAACCTGGTACCGTCACCGGATCGCGGCCGTGTTTTCCACCTCTTGGTGGTTTCCCTGGTGCTCCCGGTGCTCGGGCGTGGGCTGAAGGTGCAGCGCAAGTTCGTCTCGCCCACCGCCACTAACAACTTCGCCCTGGATGGGTCGGGCGGCAGGATCTACCTGGCGGCGGTCAACCGGCTTTATCAACTCTCGGCTCCCAACCTGACACTGGAGGTGGAAGAGCAGGTGGGCCCCAAGGAGGACAACCCCTTGTGCCACGCTCCCCAGCTGCCCCAGGCGTCCTGCGAGCACGCCAAGAAGCCGACCGACAACTACAATAAGCTGCTGCAGCCGGACCCGGAGCAAGGCATCCTGGTGGTCTGCGGCTCGGTCTACCAAGGCTTCTGCCAGCTGCGGAGCATGGAGAACATCTCGGTGGTGGCCGTCCCGTTTCCACCTCGGACAGGTGGTGGAGGAGGAGAAGGGGGCGACCAGGTCACGGTCTTCCCCAGCATGCTCAACGTGGCGGCCAACCACGCCAACGCCTCCACCGTCGGTTTGGTGCTCAAGCAATCCGGGCAAGACACGAGGCTTTTGGTGGCCGCCACTTACACGGGCTTGGGCAGCCCGTTTTTCCCGCGCAACGCCAGCCTGGAAGATCACCGTTTCGAGAACACGCCCGAGATCGCCATAAGGGCTCTCAACGCCCGCGGGGACCTGGCCCGGCTCTTCACTTTCGACATCAACCCGTCCGACGACAACATCTTCAAAATCAAGCAGGGCGCCAAGGACCGGCACAAGCTCAGCTTCGTCCGCGCCTTCCTCCACCGGGGAAGCCAAAGCGCGTCGTCCTCTCGCCCGGAAGGGGGCGCCTCCGGAGGCCGGAGTTCTCCAGCGGGACCGGGGGGCCCCTATTCGTCCCGGGGATCCCAGGCTGCCAAACCCGGCCGAGCACCGGCCGCTTTCCCGCCTTTGCCTCAGGGCACCCCGCTTAGCCGCCCGTCGGCCTCCTACGCTTACTTGGCCCTCAACAGCGAGGCGAATGCGCGCGAAAAGGAGAGCCACTCGCACAGCCTCTTGGCTCGCATCTGCTTGGGGGACCCGGCTGAGACGACCCCTCTCAATAGCAGCGGCGGCGGCGGCGGCGGCAATGGAGAGACCAAAAAGTTGACCGAGTCTTACATTCAAATGGCGCTACAATGTAGCCACCCCGGAGCCGGCGGGGTCACGCCGGGAGTCTCCACCGGGGATCTCTTCAACAGGCTGGTCTCCGTCTTTCCCGCTCGCGCCGCCCTGCAGGTGGATCCCGGGAGTCCTCCTTCGCCCCAGCCGGAGGAGCTGCTCTTCGGGGTGTTTGAGAAAGCTGCCTCCCCGGGTGCCGGGCTTGGCGGTCGACAGGCTCCTCAGCCCTCGGCGCTCTGCGTCTTCCGCTTCGCGGAGATCGAGGACGCTATCAGGGTGGCCAGAAACTCGTGCTTCGTGGCTCCGGACGCCGACCTGGTCACTGTGCTGGACAGCGTCGTGCAAGGGACCGGGCCTGCCTGCGAGAAGAGGAAAATCCAGGTAAGGACAGGAAATCCAGGAGGGCAGAAAAACCTCTCAGCGATCTGGGGTTTCTTCTCACTAAAGTAGCGTGGGACAAATTGACCAGCCTGGCTGATGCTTGACCTTTATGATCCGTTGCCTGGGTGTGTGGATCAAGCTAAATAGCGGTTTTTGCCTAAGTGGGCAAGCTGTTGTGGTTTATAAATCGTAGTCTGTGGTTTGTATGTCCCAACCTAGTGGTTTATTCAGTAAATAAATAGATTAGGCAAACCATGGCTTAATGAGATTCAAGGCACTTTCTGGAAAGTACTACTAAGGACAACTGTTGGTGATGAATCTGAAAGTAGGGCTAAGAAATGTTCCCCAAATTTTGGAAAATCCTCCAATAGTGATGAACTTCCCTCAGAGACTGGAAGATGCTGAACAAATATGGAAGACACTAAATTGGGAAAGGATAGACTAAACCTCCAAGGCAAGTTTCTGGCCTGTTTTAGAATCAGAGAATCAGATCTCCAAGTTTTAGGAAACTAGCCTTTGGATGAGTTATAGGGAAAATTTCCAAAGGAAAAATTGTGTGGGCCTTTGATAAAAAAACAACAACCTAAGAGTAAACTGTTAAGTTTATTATTGCATGAATTTTTTGAATCAGAGTCTACAAAAGTTTATTTATTAATAAATTTCTTTGACCTTGAGGTGCCACAAGATGCTTGGTTATTTCAGAAAGCTTCTGTGGTTAGCTCCTAAAATTGTATTCGAGACTTACCTGATCATAAGATCAGAACTGGAAAACATACAGAAGAGGGCAGCCAAAGCAATCAAAATACTGAAACACCTTCCATCTGGAGCAAGCAGTTTAGAGAAAAGATTGGGATCACAATAGAATTGTGCTTAGTGTGGAAAAATGTTTTCCCTTCTTTTCATTTTGGTCATGGAAAACAATACCGGACTAAAAAAGGAGGGTTATTAAGCAGTAGGTATTTTTTAAGTGGTTGTGTGAGTTCTTAGCACAATACTATCTGTGATGATTTAAAGACATTATTATGGGCATTTTTCAGAGAATGAATCTAAGAGATAACTCCATGTTCAAGGTAAGCTACCCACAGTTACTTTGGATAGTGAGATGGGTGGTATATAAATTCAATCAATCAATCAATCAATCAATCAATCAATCAATCAATCAATCCAAGGCTTGAAGGATGACTGGTGCTTTCAGAACCTGCTTGTAAATTGCCAGAATGTATCTGCCTGATTATATGCTAGTATTCTGGGATGTAAATATTGGGAAGTTTTGGCTCAACTGATATTGATGAGTGATGACAGCTGCCCCCAGTCAGGGGATGCTGTAGTTGAATTTTAGCAACATTTGGAGAGCCATGGTTTTCTTATCTTTGTCTTAAGGCCATGTTAAGTATTTACAAAATGCATATTAGATTGTGTAAATATTTACCACAAATATTTTGGGAGTTTTATTTAGTTCATGAAAGCCAGGGTCATATATTGGTGAAAGTATTAGACTAGGATTGGGAAGTTTATAAGCTAGACCTGTTGGTGTTAGTTCTCATTGTTTCTTCTCAGCAGCTGATGTTTAAGGCTTACTGCCTGTAATTCAGACATAATATTCAGCCATTGAGGCTTTAACTATAAAGGTTGAAAAACTGTCTTCCATGCAGTTTGTCTAGTTTTGTTTTAAAGCCAACTGAGTTGGTGACCCTTACCATACTTAATGCCAGCAAATACTGCAATACAATTTTGCATTGTTTAATGTTGTGCTTCCATTTATCAGTCCTAAATAGCTCTGCATTTAGTTTTAATGGCATTTAATACTAACATTATGAAAGATAGAGAAAAAAAGTCTAATTATGCATTGAATAATTTTATATTCATCCGGCATCTTCCCCCAAATCACCTTTGCTCCCAGTTAAAAATCTCCAAATATTTCTTCCTTGCAGGGACATGTTTCAGCTCCACAGTATATTTTTACAGCCATAGATTTATAGAATGGCACCACAGTTATGCAACCTCCTTATAATTCTTTGTGTGGAGTTCACTTCGTTTCTTTTGCAGAAGTTACTTTGGATTGAAATTTTCATTGAGATATTATTCATTCATTATTATCCATTAGTCCATGATTATTGCTGTCAGTTACTGCACACCAGGCCCCATTAATGCTGAGTTTACTGCACCAAGACAATCACTTTGCACATTGAATTATATTTGCCATTTTAAGACTCCTTCAACTAGGAGAAACCATTGTGGAACTCATTGCAACCCCTTTTTCATTTTACGTCCGGAATAAATTATCATTACAGTATAAGATCATTTAGTTACTTTATTGTCCCAAAGGTGCTTTTGGGGACAACCATGAGCTGGATCACTGAGAATCTCCATAGACAATTATCTTAATGTATTTACCTAAATTATCATTTATATTTTTTTAAATTTCCAAAATCTACTTGGTATTTCTCTTCGATGTGAAATTTTTCATTTAACTGTATTGTTCTTTAGCAAGTTATCAACTGATGACTACACCTGTTCTCTTAATATAGAGTTTTGTCAGCAGGTTTTGATGGTGGAATTTATTAAAGGCTTTCTAAAAGTTGTAATTGACTGATTTGATTGTGTGCCATCAAACTGTTGTCAATTCTTAGTGAGTACATCAATTATTTCCATGATAATATATCCCTAACTTGAACTTTCAGGGCTTCAAACAGCCAAACATAGGTCATAAATAAGTTAAAATCTATGCAGAGCTGATGAATTTAAAAACTACACCTGTATATAAAACTGATCTGAGATGGTCTGACCTTTCGAGAGCAATGCCAAAAGGATCATCATACTTCTCCAAAAGGTTTAGGCTGCTGTATTTGTTTAATGATACTGACCAAAAACCTGGAATGTTTTTCAGCAGCTGTCTGAGCAAACATTGTGGCAGTTTAAGGAACATATTATTGGAGACAATTAGGAATCTAAATTTTGGGATATCAGAGCCCTGTTCCCCTTTAGGATTTTACATAAAACACCAAGGAGATCAGAAAAGATAGCAAATAAACATTCTCTAGGACATTCCTCCCCATCACAAAGGCACAGGCAAAGGCTATGGTAAACTATCAAGCACAGCAGCATAATTATCTGCTGCAGTCTCAGTTATGTGTTCAGTCTCTGTTTTGCTTGCTTTTCATCATAGCATACAATTGAGTAATAATATTATCCATACACAAATCAAATTAGATGTCTGCAGTGTGTATCCTGAATTTATTTACATGTCTTGCTGTAAAATGATGTGGAATGGGGAAAAGGTCTAATAAACATTTTGAAACTGACACCCTTAATTCTGGGGCCATGAACACTTTTCATGTGCCTATCCTTCATCTGCTATAAAAGATAGAATTTCTGGAGAAGATCACAATCTAAGATGTAAATTATCCATATTTATAGTAGCAACTTGGTTTGGCAGGAAAGTTTGAGCATATAGTATCTGTTAGAATAATGCTGCTGGTGTGCTTGTTGACAAATTTTAAAAAGTGTAAAAGGTTAATGAGATAGGATTTGCATGTTAGCTTCTATGTAGCAGAATTTGTCTTATTTATGCTTTCTTACGGTAGCTACTGGATCTGGGCTGAGAAACACTAGTTGGTATGAAAGAAATATAGAGAAGTCTAGCTGACAGTTGGCTAGTGGTCATCCAGATTTTTGCAGTTCAGATTTGGTAATCCTGTGCTTGATTTATGATTCTGTAATACCATAATGTTTTCTACCATTTTACCTGGAAGTTAATAGACCTGAAGTTAGTCTTTGACTTACCACAGTTCATTTAGTGACCATTCGAAGTTACAGTGGCACTGAAAAAGTGACTTATGACCATTTTTCACACTTACGACTGTTGCAGCATTCCCATGGTCAAAATTCAGACGCTTGGCAACTGACTCATATTTGTGACGGTTGCAGTCTCCCGGGGTCACGTGATCACCTTTCGTGACCTTCTGACAAGCAAAGTCAATGGGGAAGCCAGATTCACTTAACAACCATGTTGCTAACTTAACAATAGCAGTGATTCACTTAACAACTGTGGCACGAAAGGTCGTAAAATGGGGCAAAGTTCACTTAACATCTGTCTCGTTTAGCAACAGAAATTGTTGGCTCCATTGTGGTTGTAAGTCAAAGATTACGTGTAATATACTGCAGTAGCCTGTGATCCCTTCCTATGTGTATCCTATAAATATGATGTGGAGTGGACATCATATTTATATGGTACACCGCAGCTACATCGTTCTCTGGTACTTTCCTTATTGGCACAGACTAAAACGTACATCTGCTTCATATTTGGGCACATGGTAAATATTTAGTAACTTTGCACAATGCAATACACAGAGTATTTTTTTTAGAAAAATGGGACAAACATGCATACCTTTTCCTTACCGATGGATATTCATACAGTATTCAGTGACCCTGGATATAGTGTGAAATTCAGAGAAACTTATTTTCAATTTATTACGGAGCAAAATATACAGCATTGGGAAGTTTTTTTTGCACATAGATGCAAAAAAAAAAATGTTCCTTGGCTTTTATTAGGACTCTTTTTTTTCCATGTTCTTTGTCCCAAGGGAACTAGTTGTGGCTCAGAGTTATGTCTCCCCCTTCCTCATTTTTGGTTAGTCCTTATTGCACTGACGCTGAAGAAAGACAGCTCTGGGAACATGCGTTCCCTTACACATATTTCCTTCCCACATCCTCAGCCTGCACATTCCTGCAATGGACAGCATTGGATGTATGAAATTCAGAGAGAAGGGACATAGGGTGCCTTGTTTTATTGCTTTCAGGGTGAAAGTTTACTAGTACTATAATTTGTTACCAAGCTGACATAAATGGTAATGACAACTGCATATATCTATTCCCATTTTAAAAAGTTAAAAGTCAAGTCACAATAAGGTTGTTTTGTTTTCTTCTCTTCTGGGAAAGATGCATAGCATGGTTTTTTGTTTTTTGTTTTTTTCTTCTGGGAAAGATGCAGAGCACATTTT